CACCGCCACGCTCTTGACGATAGTGCCGAGCTTCGAGTAAAAGAACTCCCCTGAAAGCTCGAGGGTGGGGAGAACGCCAAGAAAGCCCTCGCAAAGGGTGACGAAGGCGGACAGCAGCACCACCGTATTCGGTGTGAGGTGGTGCAGCTGAAGGCCGTAGAAGTCGAGGAAGGCCCGGAAAAAGCCGCTCCCCGGCAAGCCGAGGCCACGCACGCAGTGTGACCTGAAGATGACGCGCTCACCCAACTCCGGCGCCGACGAGATCTCCCGCTCCGGCGCGAGGCGGACCTTCGCACAGTCCTCGCCGGGCAGCCGCCGCGTCCGGCGGAGGAAGTCAACATGGTCCTCATGGACGTTGGAGCCGTCCCATGCTCCGGCGCGCGCCATGAGGGCAGGAAGCTTGACGAGTGGAGCACAGCAGCGACGTATGCGCGATCCCGCGACGGCAAACCACGGCGCAGCAAGAGGGCCGGAGGCGCGGTGCGGCGACGGAGCGCAGCAGTGACGTGAAGAAAAAGAAGAAGAGGATGGCGGAGGAGGAGATGAGCGCGCGTGCGTCTGCCGCTCCCTTCCTTCCCCTATTTGTAGCCGCGGAGCGACGAAGCCGAGGGGGCGGGGAGTAGGGGTCGTGGGATTAACTGCGCCCACTCCCCCACGACCCCACGATTATCATGCCTTAACGGCATGTAGTAACTACAATTGGAATTCCAACCGCCCGCCTCGGCCACAGAGGATCCGCACGTGGGCCGAGGCGTGGTAGTGGCGGGCCCTAGCCTGCGACGACGTCCCGTCGCGCGCGTGGGCTGGCAGGCTGATCCAACCGATAGGTGCCGCGTGGCACGCGGGCAGCGGGTGGCCGGCTCGACGCCCGGCTTGTGTGCCATCTGGTTCCCACCTTCGGGCTTCAAAATCTTCCAGATGACGCGTCTGGTTGTGGCCGACTCCCAACTGTCGGCTCTTCAGAGTAGGAATTTGCTTGGGCTTCTCGTTCCCCATTCAGCCACAAAGCCCCACCAGCTTCGGGGACTACTGTCGGAGTAAATGAACATGGGTAGCCTAGCCGGCTCCCCCTGGCTCTTCAAAAACATCGGGCCGACTGGGCCCTCAAACATCCAAGATGAAGGGCCGCCTTCTCCAGGCCGGCTGTCCCATCGGCCGGCTGTTGGAAGGCGGCAAGGCTCAACAGGCCCTCCCAAAGTAGGCCGACTCCTAGCAGGCGGCCACCAGAGCGGCCAGCTCCTAGCAGGCGGACAGACTTGCACCCTCAAAGTTTGCACCCACATAACGGCGATAAGACGGGGCGTGGCTACAGTGAAGCCTGCCACCCCCGAATCCCGGAGCGAGCGTGGCCACAGTGCGCTATACCGGGCGACCATCCCCCGTCCGGCGCAACATTGTTGCCACGTTGACCGTGACGTCACCCACGACGGGTTGTCAGTACGGCCCGCAGGCGGCGGGCCCCTCTTGCCAAAGAGCTACCAGAGGGCAGCTAGGCCTGACCAGTCGGCACAGGTAGAGGCCGGCTCCCAACAGCAGGCCTACCTCCGCCCTAGAAGTTTGTGCGCCATTAAGCAGATAAGATGGGGTAAGGCTACAGTGAATGCTCGCCAGGCGGCGGCACCGTAGCCATGCTTGCCCCGACAAAGCCATTGTCACCAAGGGCGAGGCTACAGTAATGAGCAGCCGGTAGGGTCCGCAGGCGGTGGGCCCAGCCTGTCGACCAAGAGGCCGGCAGCCGGCAGGACCCACCAGTCAGCTGGCCCCAGCGGCCGACGGAGAAGCCGGCGACCATAGACACTGACGGTCTGGACTCACATCCAGCCGGATTACCATTGTACCCCTGGGGGGTAGGCCTATATAAACCCCCCAGCGCACCCACGCAAAGGGTTGATCCATTAGAACTACACACACCACATAGAGAGAAGAGGAGAGCTAGCCTTGCCCTTCTTCTTCCTCTAGCCGAACAGCTCAAGGAGCCTCTTGTAGCCACTTTCTGATTTAGTGATCATGCGAAGACCCCGCAGAGCAGGACTAGGGGTGTTATCTTCTAGGAGAGCCCCGAACCTGGGTAAGATTCGCCGGCGTGCATGTCTTCACCTTATCCCGTTTCCAGGCACTGACGATGTCTTACTGGCTCCCACAATGATTAACCACCCGTTGGCATATGTCGCACCTACCACCCGACACACATACAGGACCATTGTTTACAATATACATGAACATTTATTTTAAGTATACATAAAATGTTTTTGAAGTATGTGCAAAATAGGCAAAACATTATTTTTGCAGCTCATGGGCATTTTTCTTATCATTAAAATGATTTTATAAAACTCCAATTTTTCATTTAAGATTTATAATGGAAAGGAAAATGTAGGCGAACAATAGCTGCAATATTTGCCGGCCCATGGCTGCCCAAAGCGAGCGACGCATGAATGAACGGCCCAATAAAAAAGAGTACAGTAGTGTAATAATTCAGAGAGAGCACCGACCGAACACTTGAGCATTGCTACACCAACCCCAACGAGTCAAGCAACCACTGTTCTCCTCAAGGTTTCAATCAACATACCTAAAACACGGTGAGTGGCATTGCTCGATAATAACTAACAGGCATACAAGCAAACAGTCGAATTCTCGGCCTCAGGTCATCACCGCCCCCCAACCCTAGTAAGACCAAGCATTGCTACGTGGGCCTACCACTACCAGTGCCACAACCCATTACTTCATAATACATTTTTATCTCGGAAAGTATATTGTAAATAACTAAGAAAAATATTTATTTAATAGATTTGATTTGAATTTAATAAAAGCTGGGATATAGTTGAATTTATGGTAAGATTTGATTTGATTTGGGTAAGGATAGGGGAAGGCAACAATATTCTGATTAATTATTAATATTTTATTGAGTTAATACAGAACATGAGTTTAGCAAGATTTGATCGAGTTAATGTAGAACATGATATTTAGTAGGAGAAGAAAAAGAAAGCCCGATTTGGTTTACATTATTCCAAACCAAAAGGCATGGAGGGATGAACCAAAGTAGTTGACAGGGAAAAACCAATGGGAAGGCTAGAGCAAATCGGTTTCGTCTTTAGTGGAAGGGAGAAAAACCAGACATAAAGGAATGGTGGGAGGTGAGGCGAACCTACCAACTCTTATTTAATAGTAGAGACTAGTTAATTGTCTGTGTGTTGCAACAGGGCATGCATATTCTAACGGCTCAACATCCATCTTATCTGACATATTCCTTAGATTCACTATATTATAGATTTAATTTTATTCGAGTATGAGTATGCGAAGGCAAATAAAGTTTTGATTTAGTTGAGGTTTTGGTAAGATTTGATTTGATTTGGGCATGGGTAGTGGAAGGCTGCAAGACAAGTTTTATTTTTTGTAAAATTTGATTTTATTAGATTGAGTTATTGCAGGACGCGGTTTTGGGAAATTATTGATTTAGTTTAGATTATTCCTATTTACTTTATTTATGTAGATTTATATTTTGTGCGGCATCGGTTAAGATTACCAAAAATATCAGCAAAGAACCAAAGGGGGATGGGCGCGGGGAGGAAAAAACCAGGGGCGGAGGTGAGACGAACCTGCCAACTCCCCTCTAACAGTAAAGATGTATTGTCTTCCTATTTTCTTTTCCAAATTTCTTTCCTTTTCTTTTATTCTTGGTCTTTCACTTTCCCGTTTTATATTTGTTGTCTTTATTTTTTTACTATTAAATCATTAACTATTTTTCTATTCTAAATAATTTTTTGTTGTTTCACCTTATATTTGTGTTTGTTTTTGCTGATGTTCAATCATTTTTACCTTTTAGGTAAGTACATGAATAATTTTTATGGGATACTTGAACACTTCTTTATAAGATGTGGATTATTTTTTAAACATGAACTTCTCTTTAAGATATATGGACATTTCATCTCACATACAAGACCATTGTTTACAATATACATGAACATTTATTTTAAGTATACATTTTTTTGGAAGTATGTGCAAAATAGGCAAAACATTATTTTCGCAGCTCATGAGCATTTTTCTTATCATTAAAATGATTTTATAACACTCTAATGTTTCTTTTAAGATTTATAATGGAAAGGAAAATGTAGGCGAACAATAGCTGCAATATTTGCCAGCCCATGGCTGCCCAAAGCGAGCGACGCATGAATGTTCGGCCCAATAAAAAAGAGTACAGTAGTGTAATAATTCAGAGAGAGCACCGACCGAACAATCGAGCATTTTTTCGATGAGGAACAATCGAGCATTGCCACACCAACCCCAACGAGTCAAGCAACCACTGTTCTCCTCACAACCTTTACGTTTGACGATGGCTCACCCAAACCACGCCCAGAATCGCGCCAGCTGCTCTTTACATACCGATTGACCGTGCTCGCTAACCTAGCTAGCTAGCTAGTGTTATCCGTTAGCCGATGCCGTTGGCTGGCTTTCGATCGATCACACGAGACATGTGGAAACCACGGGCGGCCATGTATTCAGTTCGTCGTTAGCGCGCGCGTAGCAGATAGAAGATGGACGCCTTGGCGGGGCTCTCGGCCCTTGCCGCGGTGGCGCTGCTGCTGCTGTACAGCGTGCACCGGTGGAGGAGCCCTCGGTGCAACGGCCGGCTCCCGCCGGGGTCTATGGGCCTCCCGCTCGTCGGCGAGACGTTCCAGTTCTTCTCCCCGGACGCCTCCTTGGACATCCCTCGCTTCATCCGACACAGGCTCACGAGGTACACCTGAAGCTGCCTGACGAGGCCCAAGCCAATGGGCAAGCTTCTCTCATAGCGACTCGTTGATCTTTTGTGTGCGAGATATATAGGTACGGCCCGATCTTCAAGACGAGCGTGGTGGGGCACCCGATGGTGGTGTCGGCGGACCAGGAGCTGAACCACAGTCCACAAGGTGTTCCAGCAGGAGGGGGAGCTGTTCCAGAGCTGGTACCCGGACTCGTTCGTGGAGATCCTCGGCCGCGATAACGTCGGGGAGCAGAAGGGCACCATGTTCAAGTACCTCAAGAACATAGTTCTCAGGTACTTCGGCCCGGAGAGCCTTAAGGAGTCCATCCTTGGCGACGTCGAGCGCGCCGTCTGCAGCTCGCTCTGCACCTGGTCCACCCTGCCGGCCGTCGAGCTCAAAGAAGCCGTCTCCACCGTAAGCCTGGTCCTCCAACGCTCTAGATTATTGCACATGGTATTCACTGTTGAGGTTATGTTGCTACCTTGCGTACGGTGTTTGATCGCAGATGGTGTTTGAACTTTCCGCGAGCAAGCTGCTGGGCCTGGAGCCGTCGAGGTCCAAGGTTCTACGGAAGAGCTTCTTCGACTTCGTCAGAGGGCTCATCTCCTTCCCGCTCTACTTGCCAGGAACAGCCTACTACGCATGCATGCAGGTGATCAACACGAACACTAAGTCGGTCTGTAGTGAAGGCTGTTCAGCCATGCATGCACTAGGGTCATTGACTGACTCTGAGCAACTTTCAGGGACGGATGAGTGTAATGGAGGTGCTGCAGCAGGTGCTGGAGGAGAGGACGAGATCGGCTGAGGCGGCCGGAGGACGGGAAGCACGGTGCCACGGCGACTTCCTGGACTACGTCGTGCAGGAGATCACCAAGGAGAAGCCTGTCCTGACGGAGGGAATGGCGCTGGACCTCCTGTTTGTGCTCCTCTTCGCCAGCTTCCACACGACGTCGCTGGCCATCACCCTGGCCGTCAAGCTCCTCACCGAGCACCCTCGCGTCCTGGAGGAGCTCACGGTGAGTCCTGCATGATCTTTACGTGCATGCAGAGCGGAGCAGCTTCTAAATCTTTGTGATTTGGCTTGGGTGTATAGGTGGAGCATGAAACGATTCTGAACGAGCGTGAGGCAGGCGGCGAGTCTGATGGCGACAGAGTTACATGGAAAGAGTACAAATCCATGACATTCACATCCCAGGTCATAATCCATGACACGCATACCTTTAGCCGTACTAATAATAATAGTAGGTTTATGCTGCGATCGATAATCAGACGCGCATGCATCACGTTTTACAGGTGATAAACGAGACGGTCCGACTGGCCAACATTGCGCCTGGCATCTTCAGAAAGACACTGAAAGATGTACAGTTCAGAGGTAACCATGCATACAAAAACCAAAACATTGTGTCCCGATGTTTTACGATCTAAATCATGCATCCTGCGAAAACAAAAGAGACGGCACCTAGTAGTACCTCTCAAATGACAATTATTGGCGACAGGATACACAATTCCAGCTGGATGGGGAGTGATGGTCTGCCCTCTCGCGGTGCACCTTAATCCAGATATTTACCCTGACCCCCTCACCTTCAATCCTTCAAGGTTCAAGGTTTGTGGACCTTAATGCTCAACTCATGCAAGATCACTCAGCTCCACCTCCACGTATTACTTAACCAGGGGGCTACATGCACACAGGATAAACTAGAGGCAAACCGTGGGTTAAGACACTTCATGGCTTTCGGAGGAGGTCTCCGGTCCTGTGTTGGGGCAGACTTCAGCAAGCTACAAATGGCCATTTTCCTTCACTTTCTTGTCACCAAATATAGGTGCCTCCATTGTTTTATAATGAACCCAGTTGGAGTCCAAAATTTTGTAATTGTTCATATCCTCCATTTCTTTGTCATCATTTGCTCCAACGTATTTCAGGTGGATACAACTAGGTGGAGGCAAGATAGTCCGGTGTCCAGGGCTGGAATTTCCTGATGGTTACCTCATTCAGATCAGATAGAGAGATTAATCAGCACCTGCTTTCAAGTCATGCTAGCAGTAGGAAAAGCTTATATCTCACGTGTACAATTGTTCTAGCATGTTGTTTGATGAAATAACACTTGTGCAGAAGTATTTCTATTCTGTCAATTTTCTGCAGTTAAGTAAAAATACATCTTAGATTTTCAAGCTTAACCTAATCTATATAATAAGTAACAAAGACGACAAGTCAGCTTAACTTATGACCTACATGCATGCTATGCTGAGGTGGTGTAGTTGCATGGATAGATTAGTACTACTACCTGTTCGCACACGAACACGTCACCGTGTACCCTCGACGCCGGGGGTGATGCACCGCAGCTCACGTCGAAGGAGACCCGCCCGGAAGCGCGGTACGCAGGCAATCCGGCGGGTGCTTTTGTAGACCCGAAACCTCACACGCCCGGGAGGGACCCCGTCAGGGCGCGCGGCGGCTATGGGTTGCCCTAGGTCGACCTGATCGCCCCTAGGGCCTCGTGGATCGCCGCCCTGCAACTAGAAGAACGAACGAAGAACGAGGAAGAAGAAGAACAAGGGGGAGAGATAAAGGTAAAGGTAAAAGATGATAGATTGATTGTTCGATTGTGTGTTGTTATTCAATCGGCCGTCACCTCTTACATATATATGAGGTGGCTGGACTTTCCGTACAAGAAAAGGACTCAAATCCCGTCCAAAACATCAAAAGATAACCTAACTCGGACTACGAGGGCTGGAACTTCCGGTCAGCCCGGAACTTCCGGGCTAAAATTACATCAAGTTGCCCTCTTGCACAGCTCCTGCAGGTCGCATATGGCTTCGGATCGCGATGGTCCCAAAAGCAAAGTTGTAGACCTTGCAATGTAGAAAAATTCGTTAGTTGAACACTTTTTCATCCGAGGTCACCTTGATGTCGAAACTGGCCCCGCAAATCTGCAAATAGTGTTAAAATTCCAGTTTTTGGGGTGCTCCACGTGCAAATTTTCGGTTTAGCCCGGAACCTCCCCGAAAGTTTTGCCCGGAACTTCCGGGGCAGACTTATGCAGTACATTGTTTTGGCTCTAACTTTTGCATACGAACTCCGATTTAGGCATTTCTTATATCAAAATCCATCGTCTCGACGAGACGAAGACAATCCGTGTAGAAACTTTTCTCATATGAGGCCATCTTGGGAGCGTAATCAGCCGAATAGTGTTCTGAATACAAAATCTGAATACTCAAAACACAACTTCGGCCTTAAAGATGAGATCGGATGGCTACGGTTCAAATATCAAAGTTTCTCCTTTTGAAGATACGGAACTTTATCATTTTGAGCACTTCTCCATTTGAGGCCTTCTCAGTTATGTTTTTGACCATGCCAAAATCTGTTGTCAACACATGCCCCCCTGTTTTTCGGCAAAGCTTGTGTGCCGAAAAATAACTTCCGCATAACTCGTTATTAGGACGATGTCAACACTCCATCAGCTATTTTGCATGTTCTTAGGACGATAATTATATATCGGCCATTGCTTGTTTGAACCTCTTGATGCAAACTTGGGTGAAAACTTCTCAGCTTTTATAACAATCCGATGGTAAGGTTCCATAGATCAAAACCATCCTCCGAACCATAATGTTCACCCTTTCGCTAAGATATCGCAGATAATCAAGAATAAAATTCCTCCAATCCTTACTTCGCCTGCATAAAAGTTTCATTAGTGGCCGAAGCGGTGGGCTTCGATTCGGCCTTACCTATGTTGACAAGATCTAGCATCGGCTATTGATAGAAATGCAATACACCATGGTTAACATAGTAGCCGGATGCTTGTTGTGCCAACTCTTTCGAATTGTCATGTCTAGATATATGAACAATTTTAAAGCAACCCAAGATTAATCTTGCATCTAGACATACCTCAAGATAAACTATAAGTGATTCGTCAAAACATTGATAACCCTTGGATATTTGTTGCAGTACTCATAAGAATCACCAAAATCCTCAATATGTTTAGCACATATGGCAAAAGTTCCAAACCGAATAACATTGCATATCCGGCTTTGTTTATTGTGCAATAAATATTTTAAGAGGCATGCGGCTTCACAGAACAACACTATATGGAGATATATAAACAACACTAACACCATGGCCATTGTTATGAATTCAACTATCAAAACCTAATCTCCATAGTAATTGTCTCGCTCTCCCACTACAAGAAATATGTCAACTTGTGACCACCACTATTGGTCACTGAAAGGTCACAAATTTCCATTTGCGACCTTTTTGTGACCAAAAATAGAAGGTCAAAAGCTGGCCGTCATAAACTGACTATAGCAACCTTTCTTCTGGAATGGTCGAAGACGTTTACGACCAAAATACGTCTATTGTTTCGTTTTGGTCACTAGCAACCTCCCCAGGCCACGTAGGCATCCAGCGTGGCAAGCTGATGTGGCACAAGATTCAGCCCGGTCTAATTCGGTTTTCTACATGGGCCTAGCCCAACAATTCAACCTTTTTATATATTTTTTCTTGATTAATTTTGGTCAACTACATGGGCCAGGCCCAACATTTAAGCCATTTTATTTTTGGGCCGTAGCCTTTTTAGTCCATTGATTTTTATAGTTTCAGCCATTATACATTGGGGTACCACTAGTAAGCCAGCCCCACATGTCATGCTTATCTCAAAATATGTCCCACATGTCAGAAATTTCGAAATTTGTCAAACAACCATTATAACTTGGACCCTCTTGTCATGTTTCCATTTCACGGGTATTCAAATCACATACACAATCATTGTTTTGAACATACTAGAGAGCAAATGAAATTCGTCCAAAACAAGACTACATTAGTCTATTACAATTCAGTATACTACAACCCAGATATGCGTACAATTACAACACATAATATGCTCCTCTTTGTTGATATGATTCACAGCTTCGGCCTTGGATTCACACTTCACCTGTGCAAAGAATAAGAATGAAAATATAAGAATAAGAATGTGTTCATGGAGTGATCCAATAACTTATAAGCAAGAATTGACATCAAATGCCATGTAGATAAATAGTATGACTAACACTAACCAGTACGTGTTCATGGAGTGACAAATGTTCTCACTAGCTAGGATTTTTTTGGTATATAGTATACTGGCATGTGCAACTCTAACTAAATTGATCATAGAAATGAAAAGAACTGTAAGCATGTTTTTTTGGGTATATAGTATACTGACATGTTCATTCAGAATGCAGGCAACAGCAGATACACACCAGCAGATACACATTCAGAATCCTGTCAAATTTTAAGCAACAGGAGAACAGATCTAACAGACCAGACCATAATCAGCATGCATCAGGATTTATGGTTCTAGCAAAAAAGTGGCTGACTAACAAACTAGATATGCTTCTGCTAACAAAATGGCAGCAAACATACTAATCAGATTGATTCGTTCAATTAGGGCTTGTTATAGATTATGCCCATCTAATTTATTCCCATCTAATTTATACAAAATGGCAGCAAACATACTAATCAGATTTATATTAACAAACTAGATATATTCCCATCTAATTTCTTCCAATGGATTAGGCCATGTTAGTACTGAACCTACAGCATTCTAATTACCTGCAACTAATCAGTAGCATACATGACATCAAAGGGATGCAAACTAGATAATTTAGTAGTCATCTACAACACAGAACAGTAGGCATTCTAACTTGTAGCAGAAAATTAGTAGCTAGATGACCACCAACAACACAAATCAGCTCAAAAACTCGGTCCTCGACGTGGCGTACAGCAAGTAATAAGCCATGGAACCGAGGCCAAACTATAGCATCACAGAAAACAGAGGGGAACAAAGGGGTGGAGGGGCTCACCATGAGGGTGCTGCTGCTGCTCATCCATGGTCGGTCGTCCTACATCCATCCGGCGACAACTGCTCATTCATGGCAGGAAACCACATCACATCTCAGTCAAAGGAATGGAGGGTAAGGGAAGAAGAAGAAACTGAAGGTAAGAAGACCTGGATGGCGTCGGAGCAGTGGTAGAGGGGCGTCCTCCATGGGCGCCGCCTCTGCGTCCACCACCGGGAACATCTCGTTCAGGTCCTTGGCCCGCAGCGCCTGCACGCACCAGATTAGATCACAACACGGCGTCAAAGCTAGAGATCGATGCAACTTCAATTCAAAAATGGATATCAAAGGACAATGTAGAGAAGAACTTGCCATTTAGTTCTGCATGATCATCACGGTCTACAATAACAATACAGCATGGCCTTCTGCTTCTGTAGCTAATCAGCGCCAAGAGTAGACCTCCGAGGTAATTGCAGTGCCTTGCAATGCCCCTAAATGCAACAAAGAAGGGCTTGTTAAAGTATTTTTACATTCATTCAGGACAGCAACTTTTCTTTTTCTTGCAAAAGGACAGCAGTTAACAAGTATAATTACTCCCAAGAAAAGGTTTGAAAAACCCAACATGTCCAGGAAACAACTGTTCAGTAAAGTGCAGCGGCTGGATAAATCTATCATGCACATCATTTAAGCGAAAAGTGTTCCAACTAGTGTGGAACCACATATTTGTTATCTGTGTATCTACACACCTTTTGGTGTCCTTGCATTTTTTCTTCGTTCGACTAAACAGGACGGGCTGAATGTTCAGAAAAGATGCAAGTGTATGTGGGCTCTTATTTTGTTTACACTCCATAAACAGAAAGAGGTTACTGGCAACTACTCCATGGCTAATTAACCCTTCCCTACAACACTTATACATGCATGCCCATAACTATGTACTCTCAGATCAGATGTTGCCTAGCTAGCTTGTTTTAAGGATCCTTTCAACCTTGCTATGGAAGATGCCATACTTGTAGCAGCAGCATCATGTATATGCATGGCTGGCTTGACTGCCGTGGGAAGTTGATCAAGGACGGTGGTCCGATTGACAGACAGCTAGTGGTCCTCCTCGGCCACCCACCTGCATCCATTCCAATCCAGCGTCATTGTAATATTTACAGGAAAAATTCAAATGATATGAAATGAGCTACCATGATC